CGTACTGGACACAGGTAAGGGCAACCAAAAAAAATTATGTAGTTTCCATTCCTTTATTGTTAACAAATCAAAGGCAAAAAACGCATCACAATAACGAAGATTCGAAACTTGAAATCAGCCGAGGACAACAAACTAAACGATGAAAACGCGTTCGGTACTCTCAATCTCACTAAAGTTACTCTCAACACAAAGAGTTACATTCTTTACCTTCAGGCTATGTTGAGGTAACAGGTATGAAATTGTTCACCAATGCAAAGCCCTACTAAGGCACAGTGATTCTCTAAAGTGGTTATACTTCACATGGTCTCGTGCCCAGATCTCCCAAAATCGTAATTTGAGTGAAAAAGATCCGAGTTGTGTAAGTGCCCGATGTTACACTCGACCAACGTAAAGTTAATCTATTATTCACTGGAGACTAACAACCAAGGTTAAATTTAAGGTTTCAGAAGCAATTTTAATACAACAATTACATTGTGGAAATAAATTAGCAGAATAAAAAATACACTACGAACAATAACGATTAAAAAATGTCACAGCCCAGGTTGGGAGGCCATTATACAAAGGAGAGTAAGAGGGAAAAGTTAACAGGCGCGCGGACATATCTAAACGAACATTAAAAAGCATCTCTTCTTTTTCATCACCCCTCCCCCCTAACCACTGTTTCATCATCTTGTAGCAAAAATGAACTGGATTATTCACACTAAACGCTGGACTATTCTCCTACAATTACTTAAAACATAGGCACAATAAGCACTTTCCAGTGTATCAGTAGGTTTGGGCAACTGGGCTCATGACCTAACTAATTGCAAGTGTGATGTATATACAAGTGTTTGCCGCAGATACACTTTTTTTTAAAAAATCTTTCCAGTGTATTCTGTTTGGCACTGATATGATGATAGATTACATTTCATCCCGTATTTACAACTACTCTAGACACACTCACCAACGTCAAAGTCAAAAAAGAAACTGGTCAATGAAATACAAGACAGAAATACGTAAAAAAGCAACAAAACACAAAAAACAAAGAAATAAAAACTTTCAAAACAAGAAAAAAACATCTAAAAAAGAGAAAACCAAAACGAAAAAAGGAGAAAATTCCAAGTAAAAACTATTCACAGTTCCGGTTATGTCAACTCTAACGAAGACTCCCCGTTTACTCGCTCAATGAACGCCGCATAAATTCCACGTACGAGATCCTTCCCTCCATGTTTTCATCAAACACAGAGAAAATATGAAAGAAATCTTCTTCGTTTAACGGAAAGTTAAACCTGTACATAGTAGCTTTGAAGTCAGTCACGGAGACGAAGCCATCGCCCAACGAATCCATCTTCCGGAATGCTCTTCTCAGTCCTTTCCAGTCTGAAATCATCTGTAGAAATAATAAATAGGTATATGGCCCATTTTGAATCAAGGTGAAGGGCGCACTCGGGCGAACGTGGCTTATACTGCACATAAGGCAGCCGTGACACAAAGCTAAAACACTTATGGCAAATCGCTTATGTTCCCACCTGGACAATGGAGCTTTGATAAATTACATAGGTACAAAGCTTTCTTCTAAACAAGGACTGTTTTACCCATCAAAAACTCGACAGAAATGCGCTCTCTTCCCCTATAGCCCTTTCTGTGAACTGAACTTTAATTTGCTCGAAATATATTCACACTTTCTCACCGATATGACTAACAAGCACACAAAATCATTTTCCTTTTCCTTTGCCTCAAAGTTCAAACTGAAGAATTATCCTTTAGAGACTGGAATACCACCGAAGCTCTTTGGGTCTAATGTGAAGTGAACTAGAGGACGATTATGATGCAAGGGACTTCAGCAACACAGCTCACCTGGTTTCGAATTTTATCAACAACTGTATCAACAGCCTCTTGAGCTCGTTTCCCGTCCAACCACGCCGCCTACAAGAGAAAGAAATAAACGAAACATAGCATAGCAACATGTCAATTACTCGACCAAGAACTAAAGAAAAGATCGGGGAATAAAAACAGGATAGATGAACTTCCTCCCATACATCCACTCTCATTCTGGTTCGGGCGCGACGACGGGACTTAGTTTACTCACTCTTTTTGTCCTTTCGCCATACACATAGTGGATCCTACCACTGGACGTGAGTCACATGCAGATCTACCTCGACACCATTTCCTTTGCGACTCAGAGGCAGATATTTCTGGGAGATTTCGCAGTGGCAGATCGTCCGATAGATAATCCGAAGGGTTATAGGTTTGCTCTTCTCAGGAAATCAGAATTCATTTATAAAAATCGCGATTGTTCATATCAGCAAAGTTTGAGGTCCAAAACACCTTGAGTAAATCACATGTACAGGTGTAAGTGCCTTCAGCGCTTCAAATACCCTAAGAGCTACAATTCAGTTTACCTTCTCCACACAAAAGAAATACAGTGTCTGGCGGGATCAACTCAAATAAACGGCAGCGTTTGATTTTAATAAAGCAACGCGCGTTAAGTCACAATCGTTTCTCGCACGTCTTCTTCTTCACACGTACCAGTGCTATTTGCACTATCCTTAAGAGAGCACCTGCCACTCGACCTTATCTTGAAAATTTTAACTCACCTTTGTAAGATATCTGGTGACCGGTGCCATGGGACCGAGGTGGTCAACCTTGACAGGCATCGTGGGAAGGAATTTCTTCAAGAATTCAAGGTAGCAAACCCTTCAAAAAAGAAAACAGAAGATGAAAAAATAAAGCGTCGAAATCGTTGCGCGTTAAACACTGTCTAGTGTGACAAAAAAGGTGAAAAAATGAATAAAAATACTTGAAAGGAATTAGAATTAAATTCAAATAAAAAACTAGTTTCATGATTCTCACCGGGAATTTTTTCTCCTATCAAACTTCCAACAAAGGCTCAAACATTCCTCGTCTGTCATATCCTTGCAAAATCGTTTCATGACACCCTATTAATAAACCAGTTGCTATTAGTACTAAATGCTATTATCGTATTCAATCGAATAAGCGCCGCAACCTTTACTCCGCAATTTTTCTGCACCTCAAATGCAGCGCTTATTCGAGGGCAATTGGCAAAAAGTCACATGTGACTGAAACTACTGGCACCGGATTATTTCAATGCGATCTACAGACGTAAATTCACGAAAACTGCAAGGGCAAGGATGGAGTCATTACCTTAAAATCATCGAATTCCAGCGTAGCACTTCCTTCCTTATCCACTGCATTGAAGGCGTTTCTCATTTCACTCCACTGAGAGCACACCTACACATAACACAGCAAAGTTTGAAAGTTGAACCGAAGGATTCAAGACTACGTGATAGCATCCGCAATCAGGTGAAAGTGTCCACAGTCCAATGGAGGCCTTCCATGATTTCTTTTGTAAAGGCTATACTGACATCAAGCATGAAATGACGTAACCTTTCGTTCTGATTGGAGAAAGCTGTCTTCTAAACTCAAGTAGGTTTACTACTGCGTTCGCTTACTTAAATTTTCACGATGGGATGTGTGTAAAACTCGACCGGAAGCGTCCTAAATGGATCAGAATCGTCTAAAAACAGTTCTTTCTTTTTCTAATCGTCATGGCGACTGGATCAGTTGCAGATCTGAGCGCTGCTGCAGTTGTGGGAGGTACAGCTACTTTGGAGTGTTTTTCGGTATACTGACACGCTTAGAGCGCCGTTTGAGGACAATATTTTTTGTACATTCCGTCCATTCTTGTTTACTTGTGTTCTGTCTTCGTTGATAATCGGACAATTAAACTCCTGCGAGCTGTGTTCAAGATCATCAATATCAAGATCGTTACATTTCAGGAATTTTCTAAATGTAGCCGGTCGCCTCTTATATAGCTCTACGAATAAGGGCTTGTCTAACAGTAAGTTAAAGTACCTGTTGTTTAATGTTCTTTAAAATTTCTTCCACAGAAAGTTTATTCTGAGTCTTCAATGGCGGAAGAGTCTTGTCTTCCGTTGGGGATTCTGCCTGGTCTTCCGGCGCAACAACGGAGGGTGGAGTGGGAAAGGAGTCGGAGTCAACACCTTTTTCCTCAGCCACAGATTCCAACCGGTTGTGTGATAGTGATTTGGCGTAGTCTTGAAGAACGCGTGAAAGGCAGCCTACGATAACAATCGTGTGTGGCCATTAGCAGTTTATATCTTTCCTGTGTTAAGACCGTACATCAAGCATGAAATAGGGCAACTATTTGCTCCGACAAGAAGTCGTCGTCTTCAGAAATCATGGCTGGAAGAATGCAGGTTTATTACTGCATTTGCTCATTTAGATTTTCACGATGGGATGAGTCTTAAAATGATAGTTTTAACAACAGGAAAGCAGTTTTTATGTCAATCTCCCTTGGATGGATTGAGCGTCGTAAATAAAAAAAAAGGTTCAATGGCTAATCGTAACTATCCTGAGAGATGTCATCAAAGGTACGTTTATATTAACAGCCGGCGCATAGAGAGAGAGAGAGAGCCATACAAAAGGCGGCTTAAAGTAAAAGTTTCCCTTTATACTAAAAATACACTCGCCTGATGCAGCCTGGCCTGATTCTTCTCCAGCTGTAGTGACGTTGAAGTTTAGAAAGCTAAACTCTACTAAATGCGCAAAGCTGACCATACCATCCTTCTCAACAGGCAGTTTGGACCAAAGTAAATCGACTTCCGGTGATGTGAACTTGAGTTCGTATCTGAAATACCAAGCGGTCACACGTTAACCCCATCACCCCTAAGAGCGACTGGCTCAGTCCCATTTTTCCTCACAGTATCACCCTTGATTGAAATATAAAGGTCATGAGAATAAAGGAAATGATCACCAAGGTAAGAAGCTCCTGATAATCGAAAAATTCTCCAGGCTTGTCAGTATCATAAGAGACGTACAGAGAACAGTGTAGAGAATATGAATGCTAATGTTCGGCTGGAAAGGGTTAAGAGATAAAGTGTCCGTGTGCCGAATAAACTTAACGAAGTATCAACTCATCCAAGCTGGCATGTCACATAACACTTCCATAGTGAATAAAAAGACAAAAAAAATCAACATAAATGAAGTCAATAATAAACTCAAAAATAGCCACACCGTTTTGCTGGCACAAAACTGAACAAACATAACTGGATTCTCTTCATATCGAACCATCAAGCATGTCGCTTATTTCCACCAAAGTAAGTAACCAAAAGAAGAAAAAGATTAAGGACACATATGGTTAAAAACAGATCTATACTGACCCACTCAGTCCAAAAGTACATGGACAGTGAGGCCTTGTTCCTGGTGATTATGCCTGGGTCGCAAAACCTTTAACAAGCTTATACCACTTTCATGGCATGGCCGCTATTACCCCAGTTTTATTATTGTAAAAAAGTGTATCAAATTAAAAGGGAAAAAATTAGTTACCTTTCAAACAATCTTAGAAACATTCCTTTGGATAAATATCCTTTCTTAAGTTGATCCATTCCCTGAAAAGTCTAAATGAAACAAAACAGGACAAATATATAACTCACCCCACACTCAAAATCCAAGCCTCTTCCAGGAGTTCATTTAACAATCAAAAGGGTGCAACAGAAGCGCAAAGCGAACAAAGGGGGAGGTTTGGGTCATGTCACGTGAGAGAGACTCGACCCTAACCTCCTTTCCTTTTTCTTTGCGCTTCTATCGCGCCCCGTTTACACACAGAACGCCTAATAGGAATAAGGAATAAGAACATACGTACCTTTTGTATTACTTGGAACTTCTCTGTAAGTATTTCCCGTACTAAGGAGAATAACTGCAAGGATAATTTTATTTTTTAGCAACTAAACAAGTTTAACATTTCCATAATCTATCAATTTCTGTCAAAAGTCACGAGGTTTTCCCAATATACATTGTATTGCCTGTTTGCAAAGTGCATTTCCAAAACTGCAAGTGATTTTCTTTCCCTCCAAAGACGTGAATAGCAATTCTCCAAACTGTCTGCTATACCTTGATTTAAAATTTTAGCTAGGAGAATTTAGTGGTAAATCAAACAATATATCAACCACGAGAACATGAACACGCGCCAACTTAACGTTTTTTCTATCTTATCTCCTTTCTGCAAGCAAGTTGAAATTGCAACGACAATGATCGTTTTTGGTGGCCTCTGAAAGTGAAAGGGAAAAATTGGGAGAATTACGAGAAAAAAGCCGCTTCTACGCGTCACAACTCGATAGTCTTCTAATAAACCTGAAGAACATTTCGGGGCTGTGATTCTTTCTTGGCTGTTTCCGTGTGTGATGCGCTCCTTTCCTGTGACTTTCTTGATAGCGGTCTTCTCGGTGAGTTAAAGTCCTTGGGTGAAGTGGTTGGTTTGACATTGGCAGTTGAGGGGCTTGGTATTTTTACATTAATGGATACCTCTTTGTGTTGCCTGCATGAGACAAATAAAACAAAATTCTCTCTACGTACATGAAAATTTGGCAACAAAACTCAACTAAGTGTTTAAGTTCTACAAAATGAAGCGTTTTAAAAGCATTGAACAGTTATGGTAACGTCATTTCCGCCTGATAAATCTAACACTGCTTGTGTCTGACAAGCCGTGAGACAAAGAAGTGCACCATGCTCGTACAAAGGAACTATGAGTTGAAACAATCTGACATCCAGTTTGCTTTTCAGAAACAATTAATGGAAAAAAAAACATACTGCACCTCGGTGAACTAAAGAGCTCAAGGAACCGGGCGTAAGGTATCAGGCTGTGATTCGTGTCTTCCAACAGCGGACGCAAAACTGACGTCAACTCATCGTCGGTAACCTTCATCTTGAATCGAGCTTCAAGCAATTCTTTAAACTGATATCGCTTTATTACACCTAAGTTGTCTCTATCAAGTTGTCTGCAAAGAATTCAATGATGTATAGAGTTAGGACCAATTAAATATATACAAATGAAATAAACGATCAATAAAACATTCTACAACACAGAATACACACGTCAAGTAAAGCAAAAATCCCTCAGATGAGCTGTAATTTTAGCAATTACATGCAGAAAAGAAGCTTGAATTGTTCAAGCTTCGACGGGACTCGAACCCATGCCTCTCAAATACTAATTGGGCGCTATTACCAACTGAGCTACATGCACGATGCCACAAGTTGAGAGTGATGCAAATTTTTAGGGGAATCTTTCCCAGCTCACCTGCAAGGGTCATTACGTTATTTGATTTTCAATCTGCAGGTCAAAGGAAATTTAAATTTATCGCGCAAATTGTGATCAGAATGCACACAGTTGTGATAAGACTTTTTGATGAAGCAGTACAACAATTTAAAACAAGAAATAAACCCTCCTACAGATGAAATTCAGCTGTGTACTCTACTCACTTGAAGGCGCCAAGCAAGGCCAAGAAGTCTGCCTGTATAATATCCAGAAGTCGGGCTTCTGCGTCAAACGCAGTCGTACTACCAAGAGCTGAGTCTCTACTGCGATTAAACCTGCATTGCAATCAAACATAAAAGGCAAACTATCGTCGTAAAAAACATTGTATTCCGTTCTTTTTCATCGGATTGCTACTGTAAATTTCCATCAATTTCCATCGTTATTCGAGGGGCTTCCACGAGAACGATCATTACAGTAATCAAGTCGTTTCAATTTAGTGCTAGTAGTGTTGTACTATGGAGGACGCCTTTTAGGGCCTTTTAAATTAAGCTTTTTCCGAGAGAGTCAAGACTCTGTCGCGTTGTTAACCCCGGAACAAAGATGTTGTAAAATAAAAATATGACTGAAATTTGAACTTGCTCAGAAGACGGAAAAGGAGACATATCAATGTGGTGCTTGTGAGGCGTACTTCCACTAAAATATCAGGGACAGTGGGGTCACAGCTTCCCTCTTCGCGAACCACGCCCTTTCGCCTCCCGTACTTTTGTGCCCCTTTTCCCAACTCTTGCCTTTCATTGTTGTATGGCTGATAAGCAGTACTAAACAACAAATGATTGCCTTTTCAATTTCTGCTCCCGCTTTCCGCCCTCTTCCGCACCCTATTCCCTCGGGCTTCCGCCCACTTCCGCCCCCTGTTCCCCTACAATAAAATCACATACATCCAGTAGTAAACCGTGCCCATTACCTGTGTTTAGGATCATCAAGCACAGCTTGCAGCTGCCCTTTCTCAGAGCGGTCTAAATACAAATCCATAAGTTTTTTGTAAGGAACCATGCTGTGTTCACGCATACCACACCTAAAGTAGGAAGCAGTTAACGCAAATCAATTTGATTAAAGAAATTCAGTCTTTTGGGGCGGCGCCAAGGTTTTTGTGAGCTCGGCGGACTTAGAAGTTAAAGAAGGACCGCTCGTTGCCACAGCTCTTTGAGGAAAGAGACAATATTTATCATTACTTACCTTTGGAGAAAATGTTCAGTTTCAACTGGCCCAAGCTGCAAGCGGTATTCAGACAAGGCTTTACGAAAATCTGCCTTGCTTATCTAACGCAACAGAATAAATCATCGTTAATAAGGGTTAGAGACCGTTACGAATGATTTTAAGATAACTACACGCGCGGACTGACTATATATAGACGAGAAATTAAAAACAAAAAAACAAAAAAAAAAAAACAAAAAACAAACAGTGCATGCACGTAAAGTCTAGTGGAGAGGGAAGAATTTCATGTCCATTTCACTTTAAAGTTGACAGGTCGTTTTGCTCATCATTTGTCCTAAGGAAACTGAATTTCCAGGGTTTTCCAAATCTCACAAAGTTTAAGTATTATATATGACGTGTCTATGATGTTACAACAACAACAACGTAAAGAAGCTAGGGATTAATTCACCGTACGATACCTGTCCAGTATCTTCAGGATCATACTTCTTGAATGAATTCACTACTTGGGTGTAGCCTTCTTTAAACTGCAATATTCAGTTATACTTAATATCAGTTTTATTTTATTCTCATTATTTGTATCAGAATAACAACATTTCTGGCAAAGGTTGCCCTTTTACCACTGATTCATCCCGATTTTTCGTCCTCAAATTCATACCACTTCACCGAAGTTTACGTTTGACGTACAACATAGTCTCTTTTGTATAACAATAGCAAACAAAAAGGAGGGAGGAGCACATTTTGTGAAAACTTGCATCATGGTAATATTTTATGGTACATACAGGGTAATGTTTCACCTTAATTTTGAAACATAAAAACTAAGTAATGAAAAACATAACAGCTTGCCACATGACGGACGAACGCATATTGTCAAATTGGTGGCCTGCGTTCGGCGGTCTGGCAAAATTTAATCCGAAAGACAGTTGATGTATGGAGGAGAAAAAAGGGATTGCAAGAGATGAACTACAACTGCAGTAACTAAGGATTCATGATATGTAAAGTGGTACCATCAAAGGTGACTTTAGTGCAAAATGAACAAAAATTTAACTAATTTTCATCTTACCTTTTCAGCAAACAATGTCAAAACACGATTCTGTCCTGCAGAAGTACTCTTTTCCTCCTGGGGTAAGTCTCTTCCAGCCTCTGCATGCGCAGAATGAAGTCTAACTTCTTCTTCATCATCATGTTCTTTTTCACTGGAGACCTTTTGCTCTTCTTCTTCTTTTTCAGGTTCAGTTGAGGGAAGTTGCTTCACCTTCTTGGGAAACTCTATCGTGCGAATCATGAAAGACGGTCACTAACAGTTTTTTCGCTCTCTTTTTCTTTTTTTCAACTTCGCCTCAGTAGCAACGGCATGTACATCTACAGAAATATCATATTTTAAACTGCTTACCATAGAAGGGATTCACTCCAAGCGTTTTGAAGAAAACCACTGAATTCACTGCTCCAAGTCCTGTCTTGTCAAACCTGTGTCGAAAACATCAAATGTGAAATAAATATTAAATGAATGAAAATATTGAACAGAAGAAGCTGAGAGCAAAAGGAAATAAACGGCAAAAGTAAAGAAATAATATTTGCCTCCAATCACTCGTTATTTCAACTTCCTCATTGAAGCCACAGTAAACAGTAAGTAGAACCTACTGACATTTACACAAATAATTGAACAACTGGCTGAGGAATAGCACTCACCTATCCCAAACTTTCTCAAATTCCTCCTCATACATCTGATAACCCAACACCTGTAGGGCAGTCCTTAACTGGGGCTTAAGTACCATGCCATCAGCATCAAAACAAGATGGGGGAAGTAATTTTGCATAAGAAAGAGTCCTGGAAAAGATGTTTTGTATCTAATGTTCATAAAGGTATTCACTTTAATGCTTAAACTGATATGGCAGTAATAAATGAATTCAAGATATCCACACACTAATTTACCAACCCCCAGAGACAGGAAATCTGATTAAAAAAATAACTTGAAACCACCCGAGGGATGGAGCAATGACAAGAAAAGGAAACACTCCAGAAGACATATCTACCCCTTAGTATTAGAGAAGTAAAAGTGTAGTGACTTATACTCTACATGGATCTAAAAGACTTAGCCTGTTGTTTTTTTTTTGTTCTTGTTGTTGTTGCTTCTTCTTTTTTTTGGTTGTGAGCTAAACAATTGGGAGCAATTTTGATTCTTCTTTTAATAATTTGAAGAATTGATGTGCACTAAATGACTTTCAATCAGGTACCACTGGCTAGGCCAGATTGTATAGCTTCACTAATTAATATGTCTACAAATAGCAGATTTAGTGTATGAATTTCATTTTTTCGGAGCCAGCCAGTAATCAATACTTTTAGTGATATGATTTTCTACTTTATGTGCAACTTTTGACAAATTCCTTCCAACCCAAAAAGTCTACATGCCAAGTTCAAATTGAAATACAAAATAAATAAATTGGTTCTGAACCTGATATATTAACAAGGAGACAGCGTCTTACCCCTGTTGAACTCTTCTTTTAAGTTGAGGGAAAACTTCAAGAGCAGAAAATAATTTTGGTGGAGTTTTTTTCTGTCCTTGTTTGTGCACTGCATGCTTCTGTTCCAAAGCAATTTCTCTTTGTCTTTGACGTAATCTGTTAGCTGGGAGGTTTGCAAGGTAGTTGAAATGAGAAGGTGGTCTAAGCACTGGATCCACCCATTCCTTGGTGAGAGTCTGTAAAATAAGCAGAATGCAAATTTTACAAATATATAGACAGTTCTGCAAAAAGGTAAGTTGATAGTCCTACAAAACTCTATCCCTGATTCTCGAAAACTTTGAGGATTGTGCTGGGCTAGAGTAGAGTTTTGTAACATTCAAAATCAAATTTAATTTCAAGATGCTCGAAACTCATTTCATGTGTCTCAAAACGAGGAAACAAAGGAATATTCCCACCCCTTGAAGCTTCTTACCTTTTTTCATATTCACAAGATAAAAATCCTTAAAGCATATATATATATATATATATATATATATATATAATTATAGAGTATCATAAAACACAACAAAATATTTGTTAGTACCAATAATTATTAAATGTACGAAAATAAAAACAGAGGATACATTGACATGGAGTCAAATTTTTGGCAGGTGGTCAGAGAGGCAATATAGGAGAGTTAGTTCCCTATTTAAAAAAACCCAAAAAAAACAAGCAAGAACCAGCCAGGTCTTTGGCTCTACAATGCACTTCTAAACCCAGGGTCCAGCATGTGCATGCTGACACTACTTAAACCACCATGTCTCCCATTGTCATAAATAAGACCAACAGAATGATTGAACAAGTTTACTTTTACCGGTAATTAACATTTTACAGTACATCTTAGGAGGGAATCATACTTATCTCTTAAATTAAATGTTTTAAAGTTTTGGTTTTTTTTTACACTCTGGATGTATGCTACGTTAAAGTGAGCTCACCTACTACCAATGTTCTACTAACCTCATTGTCTTGGAAATGGTGAACAAAATTTTCAAATGAGATTGTACTCTGTGTGTCCAGCCCAAGCCTGGAGAAAAATACACACTATAAGATTAATATATAGTAAATATCATAAAATTAATGGAAAGTCTGTCCGTGTGGTATTTACGCACTAATTGGTAGTATCAGAAATCCAACAGAATGCAGCCAACGAGTGAGAGTTCTGATACAAACAGATGGAGTGCATAAATACCATAAAGATGGACTTTCCATGGAGTATAATATGTTTATATTAATATACATTAAGAGATTCAATTATTTTATTATGCCAATTTGGCTCAAGTAAAAGGCTCATAAATTGATTATGAAAGATGTAATCCATATAAATTTCCTTCTCAATAGAAATGATGCAACCACTGCACCAACAGTACCTTTTTTCTCAACATGATTATTTTCCTTAGAAGTCTAATAAGTGACAAATCTATCCTCAGTCATCTTTTGTAAGAAATTTGACCGCCCTGAGAGCGGATTTTTGCAATTTTCTGAATGGTATGAAAAGCGAAATAATCTGCCAGTGAAGGTTGAATGTCCAAGGATCACCTGGGTATTGTTCACTCACAAAAAACATGATACCCAGCTCCTGATTGGATATATTGCTTTCTTTACATATGAAAAATGTGATACATGTATTTGCCATTCGAGTGGCTTTTGCTTCAATGTACAGCTAACTTGCCTATAAATATATTTCTCATCTTTTTAATGTGTAAATCTCAGTACACATATGATAAAACCATGCATCATATCTCTAAAAAGTTTAAAGCTATAATTGGTTAATTCATTATATAGCCCCCTAAATTCAAATGTTTGTTTGAATTGAGATCTTCTCCCAGTATTTGAAGTTAGAGATTTAATAAATATCTTCCTGACCTTGTTTCCTTGGTCCAAACTTTAAGTTTATGGACCTTATTTTTCCCCTCCTGATTTATGACCCACACCCTTATGCTTGGGCCACAAATCTGAATGGAAAAACCCAGTTACATAACTTAAATTACAAACTTCAAACTCAGTAAGTAAACAGAGTCAGTAATGAGGTATGAGTGGAGGCAAATTTAATTTCTTTACCTTTGCCATTTGTTTCTTTTTCCTTCATTATTTTTTCATTTTTTTCACATTTAATTTTACTTTAAATTTACAAAAACAAACTATTGTGCTCTTCAATGAAGTAAAGACAATCACCTTTTTAAGACACCACTGATTTGGTCAGATGTAAGATAGCCACATAAATGATACAAAATATTTGCAAGTGCTTCTCTGTAAAAATACAAAGTGTGAATTACAAATTAGGAAAACTGCAGTATTTTATCTTAAAAGCCAACTTAAACTGTATCATTACGTGTAGCATCATTTAAAATCTAAATCAGTATGATGATAAGAATTTTCCCTTTTGTTATATCAAAAGACCAGCTTACTGTCTTTATGTATTGTTAAGTACATTGAGGAAAATCTAACAATCGTCTGTTACAGATGAAACCAAACAGTACCTGGATACATTGCCTTTGCCCATGGGATCATTAGAACGAAACAATTGACGAAGCCCACTTATTCTGGTCAGCAACTTTTCACGGATGAGATCTTCAAGCTAACAGAAGTAAAATTCATTGCAAAGTGATAATGTTTATTTCATGATAAGAAAATTACACCCCAAATGTTAATAACGTTAATGTTTATAAATAATTCTATTTAAGAAAGATTATTGCCTGCCTTAAATCACTTTGTGGTCCTGATATTTCAGCAATATTCAATATTACTGGAGCAACACAAGCAGCATAACCCCACGATTTCTAGAAGAGTTGGCTCAGTTAAGTTGGTATTATG